CATGTATGTGTGCCCCTGTACCCTGGACTTAGGGCCTTGTACTTTTTCTTAGCTAATTTACTCAAAGCTGGCCGTCTACCTCTTGAGCCACAGCTCTACTTCTTGCTTTTCAGTGATCAATTGGAGCTAAGAGTCTCGTGGACTTTCTTGTCAAGACTGGCTTTGAACCAGGATCCTCAGATCTGAGGTTCCTGAGTTGGATGACAGATGTGAACCGCCAGCACTCAGCTCGCTAATTTTTTTCTTTTTACTGATCCTATCCTTATCTCTACATGGCAGGTTTTCACCTTCACCTGGAGAGAGGACATCCGGCCTGGAGACCCTCAGCACACCAAGAAGTTCTGCTTCGACGCCATCTCCCACACCAGCCCCGTCACCCTCTATGACTGCCACAGCCTGAAGGGCAACCAGCTGTGGAGATACCGGGAGGTAAGAGAAGATGTCGGGCAGCAGGGAGCCTGCAGGGCCAGGGGTGCTGGTCAGCAGCGGCCACCCCGCGGCTTCTCCCCCTCAGCCGGCTCACACACTCATCAGTGCATTCGGGCCACAAACCTGCTAGGTCTGATTTTGTAGCCATTCAAGAGAGACCAGAGCCCAGGCGTGGCTCCTGCCCGTACCCGCTGCTCAGGAGGCTAAGACCCAAGGATCGTGGTTCAAAGCCAGCTTGAGCAAGGAAGCTAAGACACAGCGCCTAGTCCCTGAGTTCAAGCTTCAGTACCAGCGCAGAAAGGAGAGGGTGGGCAGCGATCCAGATTCCAGGGGAGGGAAATAGGGAGAAAAGGAGAGAGAGAGAGCGAAACAGAGGCAGAGCAGGATACAGATCTGAGTTCATGCAGGGATTGGGGGGAAAGGGAGCAGGCGGTGTCAGGGATCCAGATTTGAATCCAAGCCCCAGTCCTGGCTGGGGGGGGGGGGGGCGAGGAAGGAAGGGGGCGGGGGTCTTGATTAGTACGTGCAATCAAAAACTCTTAGACACTAGTGGCGAAAGCCTTTGAAAGCTCTCGGAATTTGAGAGAGGCAGATGGTGTGGAGGGCAGAGTTCGGGAATGCGGTGCTGGAGAATCAGCAGCCTGCTCGGCGTGTCCCCCTGCGCGCGCGCGTCCTCCCCCCTGCGTGCGCGCGTCCTCCCCCCTGCGCGCGCGCGTGCGCGTCCCCCTCCCTGCAGTGCGGATCCCTTGTCTCATAGGATCAGACCTTGTTCCACCCAGTGAGCGGCAGCTGCGTGGACTGCAGCGAAAGCGACCACCGAATCTTCATGAACGTCTGCAACCCCTCCTCCCTCACCCAGCAGTGGCTGTTCGAACACACCAACGCCACCATATTGGAAAAGTTCAACAGAAACTGAGTCTCGCTGTTTCCCTGGCAGAGCTGGTCCAGGCCGCCCAGCCCACAGGCAGGGCAGGCGGTGGCAGGCACGGTGGGCTGAAAGGCGCTGGCCAGATTGTTCAGAACAGAGGGGCCCTTGAGGCTGGAGCAGGGGGATCTGCCAGGCCTTTATGCTCCTGAGTTGTTAGAGGGAGGGTAGAAAGCAGACCCCTTACACACACACACACACACACACATACACGCAGACCCCTTACACACACACACACACACGTAGAGCCTGTTTTCATTCTTGCTGGTATTGAAGTAAAGGTAAGGCGAGGGGCCTTTCAGCTTTGTCACATGTCCCCCCCCAAGCATTATGTGGACAGTTCCCCAAAAGGGAGCTCTCTGGCAACCTCAAATCTGAAATGGTGCCCCAGTTTGTTGCTGGGGGGCAGCTTGAGTCCCAGTTACTCCCAGCTACAGGAGCAGGGGTCTGAATTCTCGAGTCCTGGGTCCGAGTCACTGCCATTACCAGCCGGCTTCCGTTCTCTGTCTCAGCCCAGTGACCCCATGAGAAGCACCCCTGAAACCTTCAGACCCCTCAGTCCTGAACACTGGCCAGCTGCCACGGGTGGGGTGAGAAGAGGACTCCAAACGTTCCTCCACAGCCATCCACCTGTGAAATGTCTTCCTCTGGCTCTGTGGGTATTTGAAATGCCTGTTTCTGTGCTCTCTGGGCACAAGGTCATACCAGCCACCAGCTTTTGGGCCGGGGAGAGGCGCATTCAGATGGCCCTGGACCTAGACCTCCAAAGTAGCCATGCTGACAGGATTTCTCCATCCATTCTTCCATATCTCCCTCTCCCTCCCCCCCCTTCTCTCTTTATTTCTCTGTCTCAACAGAGAAACAGGGGTGCTGCGAGACCCTCACCTCCCAGACTGGAGAATTCCAGGATACTGTGAGCGACACCTAGCCTTCCAACCATAGTACAATCTCTAGTTCTCACACAACTGTAGATCTCCTGAACAGCCCTTACGATTCCATGGCCACTAGAATGTTCCAGAAGATTCTGGTATTCTGATATCCAGTTGTGGATTTCTAAAATGTGAAATGCAGGTAGAATAGTCAAGACAGGCTGCGGCCCACCCCACCCCCAGCCTGAAATTCAAGGTTGGAGGAATGAGAAGGAGGGAAGGGACCTCTGTCTGCCAGTTCATGCCAGGAGATCTGGTCAGATGCTCAGCAGAAGCCTCCTCCCTCCCCCCTGCCATCAACATGGCAGCTGCAGTTAACATTAGTAAGGAAGAAGCTAATGTCTCATGGCCAAATCTACATCCAGCTCTATGCCAGCCCATGTTTCTCTTTTGCCATGGCTCCCAGCAGGTTCCCAGATGAATAGGTAGAATTCTTAAAACCAACTTTGCTACATGTTAATTGGCAAATGGAAATCCTGCCCACCACCAAGTATCTACCAGCTAGCCTGGTAGATGCTTAACATCAGTATTCTGGTTGATGTCAGGTCTCAGTTAGCAACCAAGACAGAATTCTAGGAGTAGAGTTGAGTAGGCTTTTGAAATGCTGACTGATCTCAAAGCCATCCATATTGGGAATCACACACACACACACACACACACACACACACACACACACACTCTCTCTCTCTCTCTCTCTCTCTCTCTCTCTCTCTCTCTCTCTCTCTCTCTCTCTCTCTCTCTCTGCATGCACAGACCATATGGCTGACAAAGGAGCATTTCACTATATCCCTGGGCTAGAGCTGTTCATGCGCCCCCTAGTGTCATCCACAGGAATGACATCCATATACAGAAAGGATTGAAAAGATGCCATTCCTTCTAGAATCTGGAATGAGGATTGCCAGTGTGTTAGAACGGGGAGAGTAGAAACATCAGAGAACAATGCACCATTTTTTCCAAGTCAAAACTGTGCCTTTAAAAATGCAAATATACAGCAAAATCCCTAAACTTGAACCATTTCCTAGTGCCTTGCTAGACAGACAGAAAGGGGTGGGTTGGGGGGACAGGAACACTTTTTAGTGGTGTGTGAAGTTCCTGTTTGATGAGTCTCTTGTCTGTGTGTGTGTGTGTGTGTGTGTGTGTGTGTGTGTGTGTGTTTGCTGGTCCTGGGGCTTGAACTCAGGGTCTGGGTGCTGTCCCTGAGCTTTTTGTTTTGCTCAAGGTTAGTGCTCTACCACTTGAGCCACAGCCCCACTTCTGGCTTTTTTGATGATTGATTTTAGAATCTCATGGACTTTTCTGCCCTAGCTGGCTTTGAACCTGGATCTCCTGAGTAGCTAGGATGACAGGTATGAGTCACTGACTTCTGACTTAAATATCTTTTTTTTTTTTCAAGTAACAAGAGATTGGTGGGCTAGAGCAAAATCTGAGCCCAGGAAGGGCTTGGTGGCCTGGCAGGCCCAGTCAGCGCAGGAATATCAAGGAAAGATCACCTCGATGAAATGGCGGCCTCAGATGGCCTCTTAGCCCGGAGAAAACACCTTACCTCTTTGGCCCTGTTGGGGGCCATACCTATAACTCCCATACCAGCCCCCCAAGTAGAGCGCTTGACCTGTGCCTTGTCATTAGGGTCAAGACCTAGTCAAGGGACTAGGTCCCTGGGTAGGCCTGTTCCTAGAGTCCTTTGCATGCAGGAGAAGCCACAAGCCACCCTAGGCCTTCCTTGTCCCCTTCCTTTGGGTTTTCCTTCCAAGTCTGCTTCACATCCAGTCAGGGCTGAGACTCAACAAGAGTGACACGGGAGAATGCAGGCCAGGACTCTGGCTCTACGCCATCTTGAGCCCTTCAGTTATGATGTCATAGTTGGAAACCATCTGTCATGGATTGAGTATGCCTGGTGAAAACTAAAAAGGAAAAGCCAGGATGTGTGGAGATGTCATCAGCGACTGTAACCCTCTTTTCCTTTAAAGCTTTTCTTTAGGTCACCGAACAATGGGGTGCAGGCATGCTCCACTAGACCTATGGAGGGCTGCAAAGTTGGGGTGGAGGGGGAAGCCAGTCCATCTTCTGCCTCCAGTGGGAATGCAACCTGGAAACGATCCCACACATGGTTGATTCTTTCTTTTAGGAAGAAACAGCTCAGAGGAAAGTAGGGGGAGGGGTCTATTTGCAGGAGGGCCCCCGGAGCTACTGGGGAGACCCAGAGAAAGTGAACTTGTGAGGGCTATAGTCTCTGGGCCTCCCCAGTGCGGCCTGCCTTCCCTCCACACCTCTTCCTGTCTTCTATTTCCTCCTGTCCACCCAGCTCCATTTCTCTCATCTTGGGAGTCTCTGAAGAAGAGCAAAGCACTTTGTTATAAGTGGCTGAGAAAGGGGGGCGGGGGGCGTCCTTGCGTCCTCAGCCATTCATTTGCACGGGTGGAGTGACTTGTTAGAAGTCTTTGGACCCATGCATTTATTTTTTAAAGTCTTCTGAAGACCAAGAGGACACCGACGTGGACAAGAGGGCAGTGTTATTCTAGACTTCTTGCCGTCAAACAGATGTTCCTGGTGAAAAAGGCAGTGAATATTTCCTTTCGCCAATGTAATCTAGAGCCGAGGCCCAACTGTGAGCCCTTGAGGTGAGAATGACCTACATAGCAAGTGGCAAGGTCATTTTAAACATCCCCCACCCCAGATGGTGTGGATCTAGCTGTGCCCACCTACAGTGGGGGGGGGGTGAGGGAGGGGCAGCATCCTGAAGATCATGGCCCTCCCCCAAGGGGTATGGAGGGACATGATGGGTGGGAAGCCAGACAGGGATTTCACAGAGAAAACTCAAGACGTCTGCCTGGTATAAAGTCCACCCCATGAAGAAATGACTGACCATGTACAAATTGTGACTGTGATTGTTAAATAAACCTCTAGACTTTTCTCTAAAGAAGGCTCCGGTGTGTTCCTTCACATCAAATGCAAAAAGGGTGTGAAAGATAGCATACTAGCCAGGCACCAGTGGCTCAGGCCTGTAATCCTAGCTACTCAAGAGGCTGAGATCTGAGGATCATAGTTCAAAGCCAACGCAGGCAGGAAAGTCCATGAGATTCTTGTTTCCACCAAAAAGTCAGAAATGGAGCTGTTGCTCAAGTGGTAGAGTGCTAGTCTTGAGCCAAAAGGAGAAAGAAAAAAAAAAAGCTTAGAAACACTATTCAGGTCCTGAGTTCAAGCCCCAGGTCTGAAAGAAAAGATACCGAACTATTAGAGATTAGGCGAGATCTCTCAGAGCTCTAAGACAACGGAGTGTGAACCAAGAGGTAGAGGGGGAAATGAAAAGGTTTCAGGTAGAGGGAAGAGGTAGTGTAAAAGCTCTGAAGCAGAAAGGTATTGGAAGAGCACAAAGAAGTAAACTCAAAAGAGTTGGGCAGGACCGCACACAGGAGTTCAGAAGGGGCTGGGAATATTGCTTAGTGGTAGAGTGCTTGTCTGGCATGCATGAAGCCCCAGGTTTGGTTCCTCAGTACCACATAAACAGAAAAAGCCACAAGTGGTACTGTGGCTCAAGTGGTAGAGTGCTAGCCTTGAGTAAAAAGAAGCTCAGGGACACTGCCCTAGGCCCTGAGTTCAAGCCCCGTGATTGGCAAAGGAAAAAAAGTTCAGAAGAGTAGTGACAAGAAGAAATGGATTGAGCTCATTTCTGAAGCAGAACTGCAAATACTTGCTTATCAAAACATTTCTTTGCCGTTGGGTATTCATTTTGACTATAGCATGGGGCAGAATGCCCAGCTCTTCAACAACTCAAATTAGGCACCAGTAGCTCCCACCTATAATCCAAGCTACTCCAGAAGTTGAGATCTGAGGATCTTGGTTCAAAGCCAGCCTGGGCAGGAAAGTCTGTGACACTCTTAATCCCCAATTAATCACCAAAAAAGACAGAAGTGGACTTGAACTCAGGTTGTAGAGTACTAGCCTTGAGCAAAAGCAGCTCAGGGACTGTGTCCAGGACCTGAGGTCAAGTCCCAGAACTGGCATATACACACAAAAACCCCAGATCTTGTACCAGTCCTACCCTTATGCAGACCTTAATTTATATTAAAATGACCAGTTTTCAATGACATTCCAGTTGTCTCGCCGCTGTCACCCAGGGCCCACCAGAGGGCGCTGAAGATCACGGCTAGAGGATTACCAGAAAGCAGCGTGGTCAGTGCTACAGGTTTAAGCCCTAGATTTGTATTTTACTTTATGCATTGATTAGCTTTTTTGTTGGTGGTGGTGGTCGTGGGGCTTGAACTCTGGGCCTGGGCGCTGTCCCTCAGCTCTTCAGCTCAAGGCTAGCGCTCTACCACTTGAGCCACAGC